AATATAATTGACCATTTAAACTACTTGTGAGCTACAAATTTCACTTTTGAATTTTCATTTATTATTCGTGATTGGTGGGTGGGCTAAATGATATAAATTTGGTGAATTAAATATAGGGGCTCTTTGATATAACCTCTTCAATACTTGCACCCTTGCACCAACTTACCATCTCCAGAACCAGTTGAGCTACACTCATGCGGGCAACCTCTTCAATACTTCTTTTAATAGAGGAATGTCCAAATTATTTTGCACCATTTGAGAAAAACCCCTTCCAAAATTTCGGCCACCCATTTTTCCTCTTATGTCCCTCGACCTTACACATCCTCATGAGTCATGACCCATCAGCCCACTATATCCATGACCCACCAGCGCACTATATCCATGACCCATAGCCGTGTCTTTCTCTCTTTTTTCTTTTTATTTTGTTTTATTTTATATTATATTATTATTGTTTTATTATTATTATTATTAATTTATTATTATTATTATCATTATTTTATTTTATTTTAAAATTTTTACAAATTTTTTTTTGTTTTTTTAACTTTTTTTCTTTATCACGGGTGTTAATTATCAGGGGTGTTAATCGACTATGAAACATATTAAATCGATTATGATGAACTATAGTCGATTCAGGAACGGACTACTAAAAATAAAATGCAAACTCAACTATATTTTACAAAAACAAACAATATACAAACATTATAATTGATTTATACAATTGTAATCAATAAACAAATAATTCAAAAGAAAAATAAAAATTGGAGTCAATCAAGCATATTAGTCGACTATGATGTGAAACATAGTCGATTAAGAAGCTGCTACTAAAAATAACAAATCACAACTGCGAAAAAATGCAAAATCAACTATATATTACAAAAATAAAAAATATACAAACACTATAAATGATTTATACAATTGAAATCAATAAACAAAAAATTCAAAAAAAAAATAATAAAATTGGAGTCGATCAATCTTAATCGACGGCTAGAGCATAGTCGATTAGCTTAATCGACTATGAACATGTACATAGTGGATTGAGGTTTCAGCGTGCGCGAAATTCTTTACACGCGTCGTCCTCAACCCAATCCACCAAAAAACCCTAAATCCGCCTCCCTGACGTCACCACGCCGTCGCGGCGACCATAACCACCGCCCAAAACAAAATTTGTGATACCAACTTAACAAAGCAATCGAAGTTTCCTTTCAAATCATCAATTGACTAATCGAACAAATACACACAAAAAGAAAAAAAACACAATTCCATCGAGATGGAGAAGAAAAACACAAAATTGAAGTGTTGGGAGCTACTACAACAGATCAATCACGAAAACTAGTAGCAATATATTCCTTTCACGATTTCATCGAAAAGAATAGTAGAGGAGAGAGCGATGAAAGAGAGAAATCGAAACCACGACTCCGGCAACAATCGACGAAAAGCCATCTTTCTCGCAATTATTCCGGTAACAGGCGGCGAAAAGTCGTCTCCCTCGCATCGGCAATTGTGCGAGCTTAGCCCTAGCTGTCGACCCACATAATCCAACATTGATCTGTTGAGAAGACAGAGAGAAGAGATGTGGAGAGAGGGAATGATTTTCTGATCGAGAGAAGAGAGAGAGAGAGAGAGAGAGCAGAGAACGGCGTAAGAAGTGAGGAAGTAGGGTTAAGACAATTATAAATCAGTAGGGGTAATATCGGTAGTTTACTTCTCTTAATTAGTCATCCTAACATCTAAAGGGGTTCTCTCAAATTATTATTTAGAGGAGGGTCTACCTCACATCATTTCCCCAAGTGAGGGGGTTATTGCTAATATTCCCTTAAATATATAATACCTTAATATTGTATAATTTTTTTATTATTAGGGGACCTAAACTCATCTCTATGTATAATAATTCTATCTAGAGCAGGGTTCGCCGGAACTGTGTTGGAACGGCCGAAACGTTGTCCTCCGTTCCGGAATTCCTAATAAAAACAATTTTTACTGAGTGACGCGCAAGAACACCGGGATAACGGCGGGACAACCGAGACGTGACCATAGAATAATCATGTCGCGACCGGAACGGGCTGGAACGGCCAGAGGAAAAAAAATCTAAAAAAATATCAATTTGGGGGAAAAAAGAACTTTGGGGGAAGCCCCCATACTTTGTTAAAGGAAAGAGAAGAATATCAACAAATCCTACTTAAAGCTCTTATCACCAAAAAGTCCCAAAACTTACTATTATATCTTCGAAGTCCTAAAATAAAAATATTAATATTATTTTTTCCAATTAGTCATTTTTTAACTTCCCCTACTAATTTTTTTTGTTTAATGGACCGTTTTCTCACCTTAACAAACAAACAAACAAAAGTTTAACAGTCGCACCTAAACTCATTTTTTTTGACACATTGCCATATAAAAAGATGACTTTTCAGGGCCTAATTATTTTTTCAAATTAAAATACCTCAAAAGCCCTCTAGTTTCGTATATTCTTCTTCCTTCTTTTCCTTCACTTATTCTCTTATTCTCCTTCCTCCATTTTCCTCATCGCCCACATCCAAAAAATTATGGTGCTCAATACAATGCGGTACTAATTATTTTATTCCTTTTATTAATAACTAGTATTTTGTCTTGTCCGTTGCACGGGCGGATATTGAAAAAAAATATAAGATAAGCAAAATTAGAAATTAGTAAACATATATGAAATGTAAAATAGCAAAACAATGGAACACTGAAAATGTAAAAATTCCACTAGTTGCAATCATAAGCTATATCTATTTTAACAATAAAATTTAGAGTAAAAAGCAGTTTACCCCCTAAAGTAAGGCCCGTTTTGCACTTTGCCACCCAAACAAAAAAAATTTGCACGTTTTTACCTAAACTCGCTATTTTGTTGCATAATGCCTAAAAATTGCCATTTTCCGGCAAAATTCACCGGAAACCCGAGCACGTGCACCACACATGAGATTGACAGGGGTAATATTGTCTTTCTCCTACATTCTTGACTAGATTTAATTTTCTCTTTTTTTTTTTACATCTTTTCTGCCTATTTTTCTGTTTCTTTTTTCTTTTTTTCTTTTTTCCTTTTGTTATCTGCGTGCCTCTCTTTATCAAATTCATTGAAATTCTTTTCCCCTCATTATTCTTCTTCCCCATCCTTTCATCGGTTATCGATTCTTACCCCAACTTCTTTATCCCATCATTTCATCACCTATCGCAGGAAGAAATTATTACCCAAATTGTCATAGAGAGAGAAGCGAGTAAATCTTGTGGGTTTCTCTCAAGATTGTTGTACAGGCAACGACGTTGAGAATCGACCTTTTGATTATTTTTTATTCCTCCAACAAGACGGTGTGATTCCGACGCATATTAATTCGGTGCCGGAAAATAATATTATTTGTAGCCAAAAGTGGGTGTATTATAAATTCGCGTCCATTTCTCGATCTCGCAAATCGGGGAAGAACAACTTTTAACGATGATGATGCGAGAGAAACTAGTTTTGTTGTAGCACCAATTGAAGCAGCAACATTAATCTCTGTAATTTTCTTGATTTTTTTTCCTGTTCCCTTCTCTCCTCTCTCTCTCTAAAGTACCCACATGCTGATGTAAGTAAAACACAATTTGAGTACTGGTGTCTGATAATTAAGGGGAGATTAAGGTTTGCTTCTGCTCTCAATTTTTTGTTCCTTTTCTTATTCTTTTTATGTTTTATTTTGGAGGTTTTTCGAGGATTTTGTTATTCTGCGTTTTGTGTTTCTGCACTCTGTTTCACGAACAGATGAGTTGAGAAAGAAGGCAGATGGGGAAAATTAAATGGAAGAGAAAAAAGGAAAAATAAAAAAAAAGAAAAAAAAGAAAGGCAAATACAATTTTGCCCCTGTTAATCTCACATGAATGGCACGTGCACAACATTCCGGTGAAAATTACCTGAAAATACTACTTTTAGGGCACCGTGCAACAAAAAATCGAGTTTAGGTAAAAACGTGCAAAAAAAAATTGTTAGGGGGGTAAAGCGCAAAACAGGTCTTAGTTTAGGGGGTAAACTGCTTTTTACTCTAAAATTTATTACACATACCTGTGCTAAAAAAAGAGAAAAAAAGTTAGTACTCGAAAGGAAAAAGAAAAAAAAGAAAAAAAAATATAATTAAAAAGAAAAAGCAAACGTTTAAAAAAAATTCAAAGTTGATTGTGTTTAGTGGGGAAGGAAAGAAAAAAAAAAGAAAAAATAAAAAAAATAATTAAAAAATATGTGTCCTATAAAAAATGAGAGAAAATTTAGTGCTCGAAGAGAAAAAAAAAAGAAAAAAAAAATATTTAAAAATAAAAAATGTGAAAAAAAAATTAACCATGTTTAGAGGGGGAATGATAGAAAAAAAAAAAAAAAAAAAAAAAAAGAGGAAGAAGAAAAAAAGAAAAAGAAAACAATTAAAAAAAACCGAAACGTGTTCTATAAAAAAGGAAAAAAAGAAAAAGAAAACAATTAAAAAAACCGAAACGTGTTCTATAAAAAAGGAAAAATAAAATAAATAATTTTGAATGTGCTATAAAAAAAAAGAATAAAAAAAGCAATATTTCACAAAAGTATTTATAAAAAAAATTGGTTTTAATTTAGAGATTCGGGGCAAACATTTCTTTTATATATATAGATGATAATGATTAACTTTATTCAGTGTTGCACTCTTAGAGGGTGTTTGGCTAAACTTATTTTAAACAGCTGATAAGCTCTTACGTCTGATAAGATGTTTTTTGATCTGATAAGCTGTTACATCTTATTTTTAGGATTATTTTTTAGAGTATTTGGATAATGAGCTTATTTAATATTTTTATACATTATAAGATCTTAAATAAAAAGGAGGGGTAGATGTACTTAATTAAAAAGATCTTATTTGCCAACTTATTTTTTTAAAAATTAAGATCTTTTTAAAAAAAAATACCAAACACTTTGGAAGAGCTTATAAGCTCCAAAACATCTTATAAGCTCCTTTTAACATCTTATAAGCTTAGCCAAACACCCTCTTAATCTCAAAATGCATTTGGTAATAATATATCATATATTTTATTAATTGATTTATATAATATATAGATAAGTTTGCAAAACTTTTTGAAAGAAAAACTATGTTTGAGTAATAGTTTTCAACCTAAATAGAACAACTAGTAAATTGGTAAAACTAAAGTTGAGAAAAATTCGTTGTGTATTTCGATCTTTATGAGATCTTATTTTTATTCAAACAACAATAACGAGATATTTCACAGGTTTATGATATATTGTACACATGTCTGACAACTGCAATCATCAAACCGGCACTCATCGCAACCGAAACACACACATTTCTCGCAACCCTCGCATTTTGGATCTCTAGGACAACCTCTACAAACTTTTCGACTTCTTCTCTCCTCAGCATCATTGCACATTAATCTGGACATTTGAATAATAAAAAAATTATCAGAAATTACGATTTTCATATTATTTTTCATCTTTTTTTAATGTTTGCAAACAATATATTCTAAATTTCATCGAATAATAAAGACAACCATTGAATAATGTAGGATTGAGCAGATGACTTAATTATAGCAAATAATATAGTTCGTATGCAAATTCTAACAATTTTAATGTGCATATTATTTGTATACGTAAATAGTTGATGATAATGATGGTTATATATACTTACGAGTGGTTCGGCATGTCTGAACATTCCCAGTTATTATTGACGAGAGCATTATGGTAGATCCTGCAAGCCTCTTTACTCCGAACACTAAATCTACGATCTTTACCACATTGAGAACAACGTACAAATTCATCTCGATGAGTTACTTGGCGTAGAGGTCTTTGAAAAGTATGTGTATAATACTTTAACAAACAAGTCTTCCATAGAGCAAGTTTGTGTCCATCGTGGCGGAATACCCAAATCTGACTCTTCCAATTGTTGTGGGCGTTAGTTCTTCCAGCGTGTTTTGCAAACTCAATTGGAGATATATTAACTATGACATAAAAATAAAATAATGATCATTCAATTAAAGCCATCGTTAACATAAATTTATTTAATTTAGCACTATGTAAAATAACAATAAAAATTGATGTTGTTGGCAAAATATTAGTCTAATTAAAATCATTTTCCTGTGGAGAAAATATGGTGACTATTATGCACATAATTCGATAAGTTATGTAATATAGAAAGCGCCAATTAATAGATAAGTATTAAAACAAGAAATTAAATACATATATATTTACCTTTAGAACAATCATCCCTAAAAATTGTTGTTATTGGCAAAATATTAGTTTAATTAAAATCATTTTCATGTAGAGAAAATATGATGACTATTATGCACATAATTTGATAAGTTATGTATATAGAAAGCGCCAATAAATAGATAAGTATTAAAACAATAAATTAAATACATATATATTTACCTTTAGAAAAATCATCCCTAAAAATTGATGTGGTTGGCAAAATATTAGTTTAATTAAAATCATTTTCATATGTAGAAAATATGGTGACTATTATGCACATAATTTGATAAGTTATGTATATAGAAAGCGCCAATAAATAGATAAGTATTAAAACAAGAAATTAAATACATATATATTTACCTTTAGTACAATCATCCCTACAAGTGCAGTCGATCTCGAGTTTCCCTTCAACATAAATTCGGAGTTTTCCAGGTGTGTCTCCATATCGGGGATTTGTGCAACCACAATCAATCTCTAAGAACTCTTGAGTGTTTTGCAAGACTCCGTAAAAATTGGCTAATTCTTCTTCCTTGTACATGTTTAATTATTTTGATGAAGCTCTTTAACAATGTTAAAGAAAAATTTAGTAATAAACATATTTGATTAGTACCATTATATTAGAATAATCATAATCCTCCACATCTATTGAACTCCATGTAGTTACGTTATCAATCCTTTTTTCATAATATTAAGAATTAATTAAACAAAAAAAAAAAATGAATTTTACAATGCACTTAGACATTTATTTCAACAAGTTATTGTATTTAGGTTAATAAGAATATTATCATGAAATGTAAGTAAAAATTTAAATATAACTTAAAGCTCTTTAAGAAAAATCTATATTAAATTTTCCTAATTGCAACAATTAATAGAATTCAAGTTATACTTATAACATACATTGTTGTCATACTAGTAATATAATTATATTTACAAGGAACGATAAAATTTGTTATGACCTTAACTTTTGATACATGTAATTATCTATGATTAACTAATATGAATATAAAAAAAATTGCTGATATATGAATATATAAACACGAAAAATAACAATATACGAATAAATAACATTATGTAAATAATCAGCAAAAAACATTATCATACCATGCTATGCTATTGTAGTATTCTTCGGAATTTTTTTATGACATATATATATATATATATATATATATATATATATATAGTTTTATGAATAAATTCAACTTCTTTTTATGATTTTCTTAAACAACTTTATCGATTTATATATTAATAACAAACACATTATAAATAGAAAAATGAATATTGATAAATCATGAAAATATAATGTATTTAACCTTTACTTTCAAATAGATGCAAAAGAACTCGAAGATGATGTTCTACTTGCCTCAGAAAATAAGGAGAGAAAAACTAACCTTGGATTTTGAAATTTGTTTTTGAATTCTTTTCGAATACTTCAATGACCGTGATATTGTCCGCGCTATGTTTATAGATATATATAGAGTAGCAAAACACGGAATACAATTAATTTTCGTTTTTTATTTTCAAGATTCGCAGTAAATTTCTCGTTAAAATTTGAAAATAACAATTATTAAATATTTCCATGTTATTTTTAACGGTATAATGAAATAAATACATAACGTGTATAGGTAATTATGTATTTATGGAGAATACATCTTACGGATCGCAAAAAAAAAAGTACGTCTTTTCGTTCTTGCAGTCACAACGGTTTAAACTTAAATTTTATTTATTTATTTATTTAAAAAAAATTGTTACCATTATTGTAAAATCATATAATTAATAAAATGAAGGAATTATTTAGGTTCATACAAGTTTTAAAGTTTATGGGTACACATGCAAAATCTTGAATGTAAAACTCTATTTTGGTTAAATTGTAAAGTTGCCATTTTCTCGGTTTTTCCAATGAAATTGTCAACAAAACAACAATTGTCGACATGGACGATCATAACTCCAAAAGTTTACGTTTTTTCGCAAAAAATCAAATAAAAGTCAAAAGACCTACGCTCTATGTTGTGGTATAAAATTTCTTCATATATACATCTCTTCAATATATTATTTTGATGGTCTTTTATGTTTAAATTTTGAGTCTTGTTTGGGCCTTAGCCCATTAGTCATGTGACATCAAATTCGTGAACTCTAATATTTAACTAGTTTTAGAGTTATTTTGTGAATTTCTAGTTATTATCTTTTAAACCTCTGTAAATTAATAGAATTAGCAAAATTTAATTAATTTAGCGAAATAACATATTCGAACTAATAATTTAGTAGGTTTTTACCGAGTCATGACCACAAAAAAATATTATTTAAGCGAGGTTATTAATTTATCGAGGTTCTAATGTATAACTGTTGGAAGTTTACTTAAATTATATATTCTTGATTACTGCATTTAGACATTTGTTGAGCCAATAATTCAATATATACAACACACTTTTGTCTAAAATTATTTGGTTAGTCTTTTAACATTGATTGTAACTTTGCAACTATATTATCCATGATTTTGTCCTTATAACTCAAGGGGTCAAAAAAAATTTTGAAGCAGAAATGTTGGATGGCTAAACTCATTTTTTGGCGATTCGATATTGTTTAGTACTCCCCAGAAATATTTTCCTAATTTTAGAAATTTTAAAATCGTAATAAGGTTTTTTTTTTTTAATTCAAGTTTTAATAGGATTTTCAAAGTTTTTATTAGGCATAGGGTTTAGTTTTTATTTGTTTTGGATTTCACCAAATACTATGCCAACAAACTTATGAAAATTTATGAAAATCTGAGAGTGTACTTCTCAAAATTGAGTATCTTAACAAAATATGATAGTAAACTTATTAAATGGCAGTGAAATTTTGGAAGTTAACAACGAATTTCTTAAAATTGACAATCGACTTTTGAAAATTGAGTGAAAATTGAAAGTTTTTTTTTTTAATTGGCAGCGAACTTCTAAAAATCGTCATTGTATTGCGATTTATGGCACATAAGCACCTGCAGTGTTATCAGTAATGTTTGTAAAAATTACGGAAGACGGACTTTTATCGAAACCAAAAACACTATTATTCTTATTGTCAATAAAATTACATAGAGGTGAGGTTTAGTTAATTGCTATTATTTAATTTTGTCTTGTCCTTAATCCTTTGAATTAAGTATATAATCCATGAATCTTTTTACATTTGCTAAATTAATCTCTTGCGCTTCAAATGGTCAACTCATTTCGCCCAGCATTTAAACATATCTATTTGATATGTATTCTAAATTAACTATATAGTTTAGGATGATGCATGTGACCCTAGTTGGTCGTAATTAATATTGAAATTAAATTACTTAAATATATAAAAGTTACAATCTTATACATTTAATTTACTTACTGTCAACTGCAAGTTGTGCTAATTTGGAAATATGTGTCATGAAAATATTAATATTGAAAAATTAAGCAAACACATATTAACTTTCTCATATAAAACTAGGGGATGAATATAACAAATCTTAACTTTTGCTTACTTGAATACCAAAAAAATAAATAATAAATAATTAATAGTAAATTACTTTAATACCCTTAATAAAAATCAAAACTAAATAAAAATATTACAAATATTATTTTTCTTTCTTAAATACCAAATAATCAAAAACCCTCAACACCCATTTCTCTCCTCACTCACAAACCCCTCACCTCCTTCACCTCCTTCTTCTCCCTCCCCCAAAAACCCTCCTAAAAAACCTCAAAACTAAAGAAATCAAAACCTTACACAACTTGCAAAATGGCGTCAAATGACAATAGAATGGTAGTTTGCGAGCAAGGAGAACCATTAAGGTATGTATCCATGTATTTTTGAGCTAAAACATCGACTTTGATTCTTTTTTTTTTAAATCCGCCATCAACTTTCGACACATACAGGTTGAAATTGTGCTTATTTTTCGACATGTATGTGTCGAAACACATAACAATTGATATTATATAGTTTTCGACGGGTAATTGACGAATTTATACTCATTTTCGACATTTAAGTGTCGAAAATAGCGGTGAAATTCGACAGTTACCCGTCGAATTTGTCGATTATTTTCGACACCTAAGTGTCGAAAATAGGGGACGAATTCAACACTTAGATGTCGATTTTTCCCTGTTGCAAATTAAATTTACTTGTCTAATATTTTCTCCACTTTTGTGTAGATCGATTGCACCCATTCATTTACCACGTCAGAAAAATTCCCAACAAAAGAAGCTTTAATGGCATGAGTTCGTGAAGTATGTAAAAGAATTGGAATGGTGTTAATGATTATGGGTTCGAGTGACGGGGATAGAGAACGTAGGACACCGTATGTGATTGTTCGTTGTGAGCGTGGGGGCCTTTACGCTGGCAAGAAGGTACCCGGTGAAGATGATCAAAGACCGGGAAAAAAGGAGCACCGATTCAAAGAAATGCAATTGTCCGTTTAAATTGAAGGGGACAAAAGAACACAAGGATGATGAAAAGGCTCGGTGGAAATTGGATGTTTATAGTGGTATTCACAACCACAACTTGTTTGAAAACTTGCACAGACACTCTTATGCTGGAAGATTATCAAAGGAGTAGACTTCACTTGTTCACACTTTGAAGAAAGCAATGGTGAAACCAAGGGCAATTCTAAGATTATTGAAGGAAAAGGACCCGTCTAATGTAACTGGTATGAAGACAGTTTACAATACTATCTCTAAGTTAAATTTCAATGAATTATCTGGGAGATTTCAATTGCAATTATTGTTCGCCAAGTTGAAAGAAGATGAATACCTCTCGTACCATAGATCGAACGAGTTGAATGCGATTACCGACATGTTCTGGATCCACCTGAAATGCATTAAGTTGGCACAGTCGTATCCGTACGTATTCGTCATCGATTGCACGTACAAGACCAATCGTTACGGACTCCCATTTCTTGAGATTGTCGGTTTTACTTGTACCAACATGACGTTCTCCATTGCTTTGCATACTTGGTTCACGAAAAGACGGAAAATTTCGAATGGGCGTTGCGTTGTTTGATGGAGGCCATGACAAGTTGTCATCGGCCTAATTGCATTGTAACAGATCGAGATTTGGCTTTAATGAAAGCAGTGGCCAATGTGTATCCATCGAGTCATCACTTGCTGTGTCGGTGGCATGTGAACAAGAATATATTGGCCAATTGTAAGAAAATGTTCACAAAGGCCATCACCAAATGGAAGCAATTTCAGTCGGCTTTTTAGGCTCTCATTGAAAGAAATACTATAGAGGAGTTCAATGAGGATTGGGAGTCAATGAAAAGAACATTTGTCGGTTATCCGCCGGCTATAACATATGTAGCTAATTCATGGTTGGATCCGTACAAGGAGAGACTTGCATCGGTGTGGACAAATAAGTGTACTCATTTTGGAACGTACACTTGTAGTAGGGTGGAGGGGGCACACGGACGAATGAAAAGGGATGTGTATACGAAAGTCCACAACCAAATTGTCGAACAACACAATGACATCAAAGTTTCTTCTGAAATAAGTAAAAATACTTACGAACACACTTTTAAAACGTTGATATACAATGAGCTTCGTGGAAGTATCTCAAAATTCGCTCTGCAACTACTCAAAGTTGAGGTGGACAATGCGAAACTATTGCAACCGAGCGATATGGGTTGTAGTTGCGCCATCCGAACAACTCACGGTCTACCATGTTGCCATGGACTTCATGAGTATGTTG